CGGCTTGCCCTGCAAGCCCCTGGGGTCATTGGTCAAAGGGGGGGAGGAAATCCCCTTCTTTCCTTCCCCACCAATCACTATCACCCCTTTTTAGGGATCTTGGTCTCACCCCTTCGGGATATGATCTTATTCCTTTAGGGGGGAGGGGGAGGATCTTTGTACTCCTAGACCAGGGGGGTGAGGCACGTCCATGTGGGTCCCCCATGAAGGTGGACCCCACTCCGGAACCTTCTAGAACCTTCCCAGTACATTGCCGCTAAATTCTAGACTTTTTCGGAACCCTGAAAACAACGTTCCATATATAAATATGTACCTCCGGAGCTCCTAGTGATGTCCCAGATCCCATCTGAGACTCCGAACAATATTCGGTCTTGCCATTACTAATATCCCAATACTACCCTAGTGTTATCAAACGTTGAGTGCATGACTATGGGTTCGAGAACATGCAAACATGGTCGAGACACCTCTCCGGTCAATAATCAATAGCAGGACCTGGACACCCATATTGACTCCCACATATTCAACGAAGACTTTTATCGGTTTGAACCACGATGTCGAGGATTCAGTTAATCATGTATACAATTTCCTTTGTCCAGCGATATGTTACTTGCCCAAGATTTGATCGTCGGTATCTCCATACCTAGTTCAATCTCGTTACGGGCAAGTCTCTTTACTCGTTCTGCGATACAAGATCTCATGACTAAACTCATTAGTCACATGCTTGCAAGTTATTCATGATATTGTATTATCGAGAGGGCCCAGAGATATCTCTCTGTCACACGGAGCGACATACCCCGGTCGCAATCCATGCAACCCAACAAATACTTTCCGAAATACCTGAAGAGCACCTTTATGATCACCCAGTTATGAAGTGACGTTTGATAACCCACATAGTATTCTTCCGGCATTCGGGAGTGGCATGATCTCATGGTCTAACGAATAGATACTTGACCTAAGGAAAGTATCGCAAATTGAACTTAGTGACATGATCAGATGCTAAGCTTACGGTTGTTCTTATCCATCACATCATTCTCCTAACCACATGACCCTGTTATTAAACGACAACTCATGTCTATGATTAGGAAACCTTAACCATCTTTAATCAACGAGGTAGTCTAGTAGAGGCACACTAGGGACACTGTATTCATTTATATATCCAGACATGTATTTAAGTTTCCGGTCAATACAATTATAGCATGAATAATAAATATTTATCATGAACAAGGAATATGATAATAACAATTTTATTACTGCCTCTAGGGCATATTTCCAACAGTTATACATGGTTTTTCTTGGTTATTTTATCAAAGATCTGTCTTCCTCGATCAACAACTTCTCACGTGGATGAGGTGAGGTTTTGTAGATGTTTAAAATGTGAGTCAAAACGAAGGATAAAAACATCAAAGTTTGCATATTTCTCTAACCTACTTGAGTGCTCCTATTTCTATGGATATTAGGCCCTTGACATTGTTTTCCTCAATTCGTTATATATGCTCGGAAGAAAAACTTCCCAAATGCTAATTTTGTAATAACTCCTTTAGCTATGGAATTTGCATTTCTTTTCTAACTTTTATAATGACCTATGAAAACCTTTTTTATTTTTTAATCAATTCTATTCCTGTAAAACAATTATTCTAATTTGATAGGCCCGTGAATCCCTCATGCTCGAGAATATTGCAAAGTTATTATATCCCCCGATTCTTGCATTTTGTATATTGTGTTTAGAGATTTTTTTTCTCCACTACAATGCACGGGCATGTTTACTAGTAATTAATACACAACTAATATCCTACCTAATATACATGGGAAATTAATATACTGCTGTGGCACTGTAGTTGTTTCTTAGTTGAAAAATATTTGTTTTTTATTTTGAGAAAAAAGTTGAAAAATATTTTTTATATATTAATAGTACTCGTCATTCCTTCCACCCCATCCGGGACTGGACTCAAAGCCCATCAGACATCAGTCCACCTCAGTCCATCGTGCACCTATAAGAGCATCTCCAACAGCCGCGCTTCGCGCCGCGCGCTAAAAACTACTATGGCTCGCGCGCTTCGGCTGGTTTAGCGCGGCCGCCAGCGCTGGCTCCAGCAGCCGCTATAATGCAGCGTGCGCGCCGCTCCAGCAGTGCGCAAAAATACAGCGTGCGCGGCACACACAAACCACATATACATTTCAAATAAAAGTAAAAATTATCAAACAAACAAAATAAATAAACAATAAATAGTTCAATTTCGTTATTACAACCCAAACAAATAGTTTAGTACAACAAATACTACAATAAACACAACAAATAGTTCATGAATAATACAATGTCGAATGCACAAATCATGCTCTTTGTCATCCATTTCATGCCCACCACTCTTCAATCAGATCCTTCTGAAGTTCATTGTGGGTTGCGGGATGCCGAATGGCATGATAGGAGGCAACAAAACGGGCTATCCTTTCAGCCCTCCGTCGCACTCGCACGGGATGTCCCAAGAGCTCATACTGTGAGTAGTCTAAATCTTGGCCACGCTCATTCTCGATGATCATGTTGTGCATGATCACACAAGCGTGCATGATGTACCAAAGCATTTCTTGATCCCAAAATCTAGCCGGTCCTCTCACAATAGCAAATTGGGCTTGCAAAATCCCAAATACTCTCTCCACATCTTTTCTAGCCGCCGCCTGAGCATTGTGGAAATCAAGATTTTTCTTACCTTCCGGCTTTTTCAACGGCTTTTCGAAAGTTTGCCATTTTGGATAAATGTCATCCGCTAAATAATAGCCACAGTTGTACGTACGACCATTTGCTACAAACTGCACCGGTGGCAACTCACCATTTGCAATCTTATTCATCAGTGGTGACCGGTTGACAACATTGATGTCATTCAAAGATTCAGGCATTCCAAAGAATGCATGCCAAATCCAAGTCTCCTGATCGGCCACCGCTTCAAGGATTATAGTGGACCCCTTTTTTGGCCGTGGAATTGCCCATGCCATGCCTTTGGACAATTCTTCCAACTCCAATGCATGTAATCTATTGAGCCAAGCATGCCAGGAAAGTCGCGAGCTTTGCTCATCGCCAATAGCCTTACGATGTCTTCAGCATTGGGAGATCTCAAATACTCCTCGCCAAACACTTGCACAATTCCCACTGCAAAGCGCTTGACACACATGATGGCTTGGCTCTCACCCATAGCCAAGTGATCATCAACTAGATCAGCCGGGATACCGTATGCCAACATACGCAAAGCGGCTGTCACCTTCAGAAAGGTGCTATGCCCGAGCTCTTCGGCGGCATTCCTCCTTTGCTGAAAAAACCGGTCATGGCTCGCTAGTTTTTCTGCAATGCGCCTGAACAAGTAGGTGCTCATCCTAAACCGGCGACGAAAATACGACTCCGGGTATGTGGAATTCTCCACGAAATAGTTCCTCATCAATCTGTTATGGGCATCAATCCTATCTCTCCAAATTTTCTCCCGACCCATAACCGAACCACTGTGCTTCGGTTTTTTATTGATATGCATAGCTAGGATCATTGTAAGATCCTCCTCCTCTTCCATATCAAATTCTTCTTCGGAAGAATCATACAACAAACTCATCTACAATGTTCAATACGATACTATAAAAACTACAATTAAAAACATGCACCAAATTCATGAAGTTCGAGCAATACATACCTTGTAGGCGTTTTGCCGAACACCTTGCGGGCGCGGCGCGGCAGCGAGCGCTCGGGCGCTGTTCCTCGAACAACGGGCGCGCGTGAGGGCCGGCAGGACTAGGAGGGGGGCGGAAGCGCGGCGGCGCGGGGATAGGCGGGGGAAGCGCCGGAACGGTCGCCGGGGGCGCGGGCGCTCGAGTGTCTCACGCGCGGAAGCGGGCGCCCCAAGTACACCGCGCGGGATAGCGTATCCGACCGCGCGCCCAACTCGTTTAGCGCGGCTGTTGGGCGCGCCCGAGCCACCGGCCGCGTTGGGCGCGCGCTAAAACGGTCTAATTTGCGGCGCGGCGCTAGTTTAGCGCGGCTGTTGGAGATGCTCTAACCCTACCCACGGAGGGACTTCTCCTGCCCGCCGCCGGCTGTCTTCCCCCATCGCCTTCGTCATCAGATCGCCGGTGATCCTGTCGGCGTCTGACCACAAACCCACGGCCATTCTGATGTCGCGCTTCGGGAAGACCGTCCTCCTCTGCTTGGCCCTGTTCGCCGCATGGCACCTCTGCTCGACCCTGTTCAACGACGCGCCTCCTGGTGGCCACTCTGCGGAGGAGAAAGCTGTAGTCAGCGACACGGCCGGGAACGGATCAGGCCTGACTCTCGCCAGGGAAGCCGGCGTCCGGGCGGCGGCCAGCATGGGCCGCAACTTCGTCGTCTCGCCGCTGTCGATCCACGCGGCGCTCGCGTTGGTTGCCGCCGGCGCGCGGGGCGACACGCAGAGGGAGCTCCTTGGGCTCCTCGGGTCAGCGTCGCTCGACGAGCTGCACCGCGCGCCGGCGATCAAGCTTGTGGGCAGGCTCAACGGCCTGACGTAGACGTCCTTCGCCTGCGGCGTGTGGGTCGACCGGAGGCGGGCGCTCAGGCCGGAGTTCATGGCCACAGGCGCGTCGCGGTACGGCGCCACGGCGGAATCCGTGGACTTCTTGTCGGAGGCCGAGCAGGCGAGGCGGTGCGTGAAAGCCTTCGTGGCGAACGCGACGAAGCAGCTCATCCGTGACGTCCTCCCTCCTGGCTCCATCGACTCGTCCACGACCGTCGTCCTCGCCAACGCGCTCTACTTCAAAGGCGCATGGCCTGAGCCGTTCGCCGTCTTCACGGCACCGTTCCACACCCCAGGCGGCGCCACCGTGCGCGTGCCGTCCATGACAACAGGCCGGTCACAGTACATCGCGCTCTACCCGGGCTTCAGGGCCCTCAAGCTTCCCTACAGAAACGACGGCGACCGCGATGCCGCATTCTACATGCTTATCCTTCTCCCGGACAGCGGCACCCTCAGCCTCACCGATCTCTACGACAAGGTGGTGTCATCGCCGGAGTTCATCAGGAAGCACACGCCGGTGGAGGAGGTGGAAGTACGGCGGTTCATGGTCCCCAAGTTCAAGTTCACCTCTGACTTTGAGGCGTCGTCAGACATGCGGAAGCTTGGTGTCACCAGGGCTTTCGCAGGCGGCGACTTCTCAGGCATGGTGAGCGGCGGGGAGGGGCGGCTCTCCATCGGAGGAGTGCACCATAAGGCCACCATCGAGGTGGACGAGCAAGGCACCGTGGCTGCTGCTGCCACGGCCACAGACATGGCTGGTAGCGCACTTCCAAGCGAGCCGCCGCATTTGGTGGATTTTGATTTTTGTGGCGGATCGGCCCTTCTTGTTTGCCGTGGTTGAGGAGAGGACGGGCACCACGCTGTTCCTTGGTCATGTGGTTAATCCTCTCGATAGTTGAGTAAAATGTGGAACGGGCAGGAGTGAGTGCTGATCTCCGTTGAAAAAAGCAAGATTATTTCTTGCTTTGCTTAAGAGCTTGATACATTATCCAGCAAATCATGTCCCGGATCAATATCACGGCATAAGTATGACTTTGCAAACTGGCAACTGAAAAAGAAAGCTCTTGTATTCAGTCTGTCTCTTGGTATAGCAGCCAGGGAAAAAAATGACTGCCAGACAAAATTTAACATAGCAGCTTGGTGGTGTATCCAGGTGAATTCACCATTGATATATGTTCAGTGATTTTCTTGCTCTGTGATCAGCAACCGGAACAAATTTCTGATGTCTGAACTCTCATTTTAGATCTATGAGGATCCAACACAAACGAGAACAGTCCGGGCCAGCCAAAAGGATGATTAAATAAACTAAATCTTGTTCTGGCTTAAAGCCTGAAACATGCAACAATTGTGATTCCCCAATGGGTTGTTCTACAGAACTTGGCCTGATTGCTCTTCTGCAGTGGCGTAGCCAGCCCAATAAGCCAGGGTGGTCCATCAATAGAAATACTTACATAAGTTTATTTATTTTTAAAGAAATATTTTTTGCTACACTATATACAAGCTATGGAGAAATTCCAGGGAACTGCTTGTCTGTACCATTTTCCTTTCTCGTATGTATTCTGTTTTCAGGTATAATAATTAGAACCGCACTCTGCGGAAGAAGAATAGAGCCGAGCCCCTTGTCGACCGACCGATCGACGCCTGTTGTGTCAGTGGTGTTTAGGCAAGGCTTTGACTAGCGAGATTCTGTTTTCTTTCAGGTTATCGAAGTTCGTCATTCCCCGATGAACCAGGCGAGCTGAAGGTGCCAGCATGCTTCAAGACATGTCCTTTGTAGCGACAGACTGATGCTGGCGGTGAGAGTGCTAGATCAATGTCTTTTTCCTTCTTCCAGAAATTAATTAAGATACATTGCCTCTGGAAAACTGGAGCAAGTAATGTTTCCTCTGAAAAACTTTTGAACAGCTGACTCAACAAAACTAAAAGATACCCTAAAATGCAACCGAAGTACTTCAACAGACAGAATTATATATTTATTAAATTATTGGGATGCAGCATTTGCTAGATGTTTAAGCTGGTTAAAACTCTTCACAGCTAACTCAACAAGGAGAAGAAAAAACCCGAAACAAAAGCATCACTCGGGTGGGATGGGCTGGGCTCTATTCTTTCTCGGGCCAAACTGCTACATGGGCCACTAACCATTCTTCCAAACTCTGCCTGAGGAGGCGCTGCATGTGGCTGCTCTACTCAATTAGTCCCACCTCGCCAGTTGACAGGAATCAGAAGCTGTTTATAAGGCAAGACGCTGCTTATTGTAGCACGACCTTACTTGAACAGGATCTGTTCTATAGGCTCGTACCGCTGCATCCTTTACCAATAAGGAGGCAAGCACTTCAGTCTGGTTGATGCATTCTAACCTCTGGGCCAGAGCGTGATTAACGGTCTGGATTCACCTGATGGGTGCCATCCTACGGCTGTAGAGGATCGTTCCTGTCCAGTTAACACCGGTGCAGGGTGGCTCAGAGGTTGTCTGACAGACTACACAAAATCTTTTTGCTTTTTGCATCACTTTTTTACCTTGTGGCAACTGGAAACTATGCATGATTCAGTTCTACAAATGCCACAATGAATCTTGAAAACTGGTACATTTTCATCTCTTTTTGAACTTGTTTAACCAACAAATCATCCTCCTTAATCACACATCTCAAGCTTTCGACCGCTCAAAGTTTTTGCTTCACAGCTCAAAGCTTTTATACAACACCCACCGGTGCATGGATCACATGCTTAACTTGGTTTTTCATTGAGGCCGATTTGCCGCCTTCATCGGACACGTGTGCGGTGTAACCAAGATTCAGCTAGCGATTCCCTTACTACAAGTCCAGTGGTTGGTCGTCTGAAATTTGGCACTACTGAGATTGACAGCCCATCAAGAGGCACCAGTGGTCTAGTGGTAGAATAGTACCCTGCCACGGTACAGACCCGGGTTCGATTCCAGGCTGGTGCATCTTTGTTTTCTTGATGAGCCAGGCAAACGCCCGGCGGCATTTGAGTGGATGGAGAGAACGTGGGAGGATGGCAAGCACGAGGGGGTGGGGAAGAAAGAAGGAGTGGGATGGTGGTGGCGCCATGGGAGGAAGTCGATGAGGAGAAAGGGAGAGATGACTACGTGGATTTGCCACATAAGTCCTTACTAGTGGGTAGTTACTCCTTGAAAGCAGTGATGTCAAAAGAATTCTTTGAAGGCAGTAAAACGTCAAAGGCACCAGTGGTCTAGTCGTAGAATAGTACCCTGCCACGGTACAGATCCGGGTTCGATTCCCGGCTGGTGCAGCTATTTTTTTAGTTATTGTTTTACCTGGCAACAAAATCTTGTTTTCTGGCAACAGAAAAGGGTGCTCATTAAAGAAACTAAATCTTCTTCTAGCCAAAACTCGGAAAACTTGTGATTTCCCAATGTGTTTGTGCAATGTGTGTGCCATTTTTCACTGCCATTTGTATTATTCTGAAGAATAGAGCCGAGCCCCTTGTCGACCAACCGATCGACGCCTGTTGTGTCAGCTGTGTTTCATCTTGTACAGATACTCACACTAGCGTCATATTCATTAGCTTGGCAAGGCCTTGTAAGGGTAGAGAGAGTGGAGGAACGATCTATTGACTGTATGCTGTCACTCAGGTTCGATTACAAGCTTGGATACACGAATTTGGAGGGGGGGGGGAGAAGGAGGAACAGTAGGGAGACTAGGGTTCGTGCCGCCGCCAGGTTCGTGATCCACCGGATGCCGATCCACTCGAGCCTCCGGCTTAAGTACAGACGCGGGCTGGGCTCACTGGGTCCATTCCGGCCCAGTGTTGCGCCAGTTGGGCTTCTTGGTGCGTGATGGCCTTTGGGCAGCCGACGAGCGTAGCGAGTCGCTGCTGACTAGGTCTTGTTTGTCAGTGACGGGGAGTGCGCTGACATCCCCTCCTCCTTGGGACGAGGCTTGCCCCCAAGCCTCAGCTCCTGGAAACCGCGCTTGCAGCTCAAGCTTGTCCTCCCAAGTGTCTCCGAGAGCAGCTTCATTCGACCAACAGATTAAGACCTGCTCAATCATTGAGCCCTTCTTCTTGCGCCATCGGTGCTGCAGGACGGCCACAGGTACGACAGGAGCATGAGTAAGGTGTGGAAGGTCAGGCGAAGATTGCGTACCCGTGCATAGACACTGGCGCAGTTGAGACACATGGAAGACTGGATGGATTTGGGAGCCCGCTGGAAGCTGCAGCTTATAAGCTGCCTCATTGACTTTGGTGATCACTTGGAATGGCCCATAATATTTGAAGGATAGCTTGTGGTTTGCCCTCCTGGCCATTGACGTTTGCACGTAAGGTTGGAGTTTGAGGTAAACTTGGTCCCCCACCGAGAAGGTTCTTGGTGATCGATGTTTGTCCGCCTGTGTCTTCATGTGTTGCTGCGCTCGATGTAAATGCTGTTGCAGGAGGTCTTGAATCACCGCTCGCTCCTCCAACCAAGACTGGAGGGTAGGGACTTGGCACCCATAAGTAGGTGAGATTCCCCATGTCCGAGGTTCATGACCGAACATCGCTCGGAATGGTGACATGCCAATGCTTGAATGATGCGCGGAGTTGTACCAGAATTGTGCGAGGGGAAGCCAATGACTCCAGCGATTGGGGCATGCGTGGACGAAGCAGCGCAGATACGTTTCCAGGCACTGATTGACTCTTTCGGTTTGGCCGTCCGTCTGGGGGTGGCTAGCGGAGCTCATACGCAGGTCCGTGCCCGCGTACTTGAACAACTCACGCCAGAATTGGCTTGTAAAAACCGGGTCGCGATCAGAGACAATGGAGCGCGGGAACCCGTGGATCCTGTAGATACTTGACATGTAGAGGAGTGCCACCTTAGCTGCTGTGTACGGGTGAGCAAGGGGTAGGAAGTGGGCAAATTTAGTGCGCTTGTCCACGACTACCCAGATGCAATTGGCTTTTCCGGACTGAGACAGACCGTCGATGAAGTCCATGGTTATCATATCCCATGGTTGTTGAGGAATAGGCAGGGGTTCCAACTGAAGGAAATATGCCCTAGAGGCAATAAGAAAGTTATTATTTATTTCCTCATATCATGATAAATGTTTATTATTCATGCTAGAATTGTATTAACCGGATACATGATACATGTGTGAATACATAGACAAACATATAGTCACTAGTATGCCTCTACTTGACTAGCTCACTAATCAAATATGGTTATGTTTCCTAACCATAGACATGTGTTGTCATTTTATTAATGAGATCACATCATTAGGAGAATGATGTGATTGACATGACCCATTCCGTTAGCCTAGCACTTGATCGTTTAGTATATTGCTATTGCTTTCTTCATGACTTATACATGTTCCTGTAACTATGAGAATTATGCAACTCCCGTTTACCAGAGGAACACTTTGGGTACTACCAAACGTCACAACGTAACTGGGTGATTATAAAGGAGTACTACAGGTGTCTCCAGAGGTACATGTTGAGTTGGCGTATTTCGAGTTTAGGTTTTGTCACTCCGATTGTCGGAGAGGTATCTCTGGGCCCTCTCGGTAATGCACATCATTATAAGCCTTGCAAGCAATGTGACCAATGAGTTGGTTACGGGATGATGCATTACAGAACGAGTAAAGAGACTTGCCGGTAACGAGATCGAACTAGGTATTGGATACCGATGATCAAATCTCGGGCAAGTAACATACCGATGACAAAGGGAACAACGTATGTTGTTATGCGGTTTGACCGATAAAGATCTTCATAGAATATGTAGGAACCAATATGGGCATCCAGGTTCCGCTATTGGTTATTGACCGGGAATAGTTCTAGGTCATGTCTACATAGTTCTCGAACCCGTAGGGTCCGCACGCTTAACGT